AATCAAAGCCTCAAAGTATGGAAGCACTGATCACAAATACAGTGGGAATTGAATGATTTCTTAGCCAAAGAGATAATTTTCAATTCCTTTTGGCATATGAATATTAAACTCCCAAAACAAAAATCCCAATTTTTCAACCAGGAAGATGATTATTTTCACATATCAATGGTTGAAAGACTTGAGGCCCAACAAACTGCTGAGTCTATTAGTACATTATTCTATATAGTAAAGCCCTTTACTATAACTTTTAAGTATAATTTTCTGTATATTTAATCTAAAGTAGTTAGCCTATATTAACATGGCTATTCCATTAAAATTGGAATCAAACTCAGCCAAAACACTTCTAGACTTAATTGACAGATTCAGTAGAGTAGTAGGATACAAGGTCAACACTCAAAAATCAATAACCTTCTTGTACACAAGTAAAATACTCACTGAGAGAGAAATTAGGGAAACAATTCCTCTCACAATAGCTCCCAATAAAATGAAATGTCTAGGAATCAATCTAACAAAGGAAGCAAAAGACCTCTACACTGAAAAGTACAGCACTCTGAAAAAAGAGATTGAAGAGGATATAAGAAAATGGAAAGACATCCCTTGCTCCTGGGTAGGAAGAACTAATATAGTGAAAATGGCCATACTTCCAAAATTGCTATATAGATTTAATGCAATGCCAATTGAAAGCCCAACCGCATATTTCACAGAGCTAGAGAAAACAATCCAAAAATTCATTTGGAACCAGAAGAGACCTAGGATAGCAAAAGCAATTCTAGGCAACAGAGATATAGCAGAGGGTATCACATTCCCCAACTTGAAACTATACTACAAAGCTACTGTGATGAAAACAGCATGGTACTGGCAAAGAAACAGACCCCAGGATCAGTGGAATAGACTAGAAGATACAGAAAAAGCTCCAGACATACTGAGCCACCTCATCTTTGACAAAGGAGCCAACCATCCTCACTGGAGGAAAGAAATCCCTTTTAATAAATGGCATTGGAAAATCTGAATTTCAACCTGCCAAAAATTAAAACTAGGCCTATATCTATCACCATGCACTAAACTAAGATCAAAGTAGACTAAAGATCTAAATAGTAAAACAGAAACACTAAACTTGCTGGAACATAAGTTAGGTAGAATTCTTGAAGACATTGGCATAGGAAAAGACTTTATGAACAAAACCTCAATAGCATGGGAACTAGCACAAAGAATCAACAACTGGGATCTCATCTTATTAAAAAGCACCTGCACCACAAGGAACTACCAACAGAGGTAAGAGACAATCTACAGTGTGGGAAAAAAATTTTAGCAGCTGTACCTCAGACAAAGGACTACTATCTAGAATATATAAAGAACTTTAAAAAATCAGACCCCCAAAATTTAAAGACCCAATTCAAAAATGGGCATCTGAAATGAACAGATATTTCTCAGACGAAGAAGTAAAAGCAGCAAATAAACATATGAAAATGTTCAACATCACTGGTCATTTGAGAGATGCAAATGAAAACAATACTTAGATTCCACCTCACCCCAGAATGAATGGCTGCTATCAAGAAATCAACCAATAACAAATGCTGGCAGGGGTGTGGGGAGAAAGGAATCCTTCTCCATTGTTGGTGGGAGTGCAGACTGGTGCAACCACTGTGGAAATCAGTATGGAGATACCTCAAAGAACTAGGACTAGAGGTCCCATTTGACCCAGCTATTCCCCTGCTGGGTATCTTCCCCAAAGAATTAAGAATCATACCACAGCGATATATGTGCACCCATGTTTATAGTTGCACAGTTTGCAATAGCTAAAGCTTGGAAGCAGCCCTAGTGCCCATCAACTGGAGACCGGATAAAGAAGATTTTATACATATATAAAATGGAGTACTACTCAACCTTAAAGAATGAGAAACTAGAGACATTTATAGCTAAATGGATGTCTATTGAGGCCATACTCATAAGTGAAATAAATAGGACACATGTAAATACTGAATTGTTTCTGTGGTGTGAGAAACTGAAAGTGTAAATAATGATTAAAATGAATAATTGATAATGGGAAATAGCAAGAAAAGGTCCAAAGGGGTAAGGGAAGTGAGAGGAGTAGGGGACAGGAAAGAAGGGAAAGGAAAAATTATGAGAAAAGGAAAAAATGGAAACAAAGTTTATGTAAATAGGGAATGGTGGGGGGGTGAAGGGAGGGCAGGGAATAGGGAAAAAATAAGAACCAAGATACATCATGTACAGGTACAAGTTCCCAATGATAAATGTAAATGTGTTATATACCTAAAATATACCAATAAAAGAATTTAAGGGAGAAAACTGGAATCAAAGATATTTGATCTGATGGGTCTTCATCACATGTATGAGACATACCTGACATGAATTTGTACTTTCATCATCCCTATAAGGACATGCACAGCTCTGAGTTCTAATTCCATTTGCACAGGAATATGCAATGTACCCTCAACTGACAGTAGTACTTGCTATTCTTACTATAATTATTCTGTATACCAAAGAGGAATTGATTAGATTTACTGCAAACATTTCATCCTAATTTAGTTTGATAATCTTAAATATACAGCAGAGTTAGGCATCCTTTTCAACTGGCTGGCTTCCTCTAGGCAAGCTTGTTACAAAGCACAACTCCACACAACACCTAAAAATGCTTGACTTTCAAGCTGTGAGCGGTTGCAGACACATGTTCTCTCCCTCTAGCACAAGCGCATGTGTACCCAGGAGAAGGGGCAGCTTGTCCAAACACTGTGGGATGGCCCTGGCTTCCTTCCCTGTCTTCAGGTGGCAGTAATTTCCATGCATAAGATGGAGAAGACTTCACCTGGTATTAGAAGAAAGTCCTGACTTGACCATAAAGTCATACTGGAGCATGAGCAGTTGCCTCTGTCATGTTCCTGACATGAATCTCACTGCATCCAGTTTATCGTAGATATGATAAGGTCCCTTTGCCAAAAGTCCCAGAGAGTTCATGCTCTGCTCTGTAGGTATAACTATCCGATAAGCTGAAATCCACACTTCAGGCACCAAAGGAACTTGATGCTACATTTTTCTAACCTGAAACAAAGTAGCCTGTTACTAACAAGTTACCTGATACATACAGTCATCCCCAAAATTAAAAATAAAAAGATTTAAACACAATTGTGAGTATTACAAAAAGAGTAGTATAGTTAGATAACAAGGTTTTTGCTTTTCAACAGAAATTTTAAAATATGACGAGAACTACAAATAGAGGAAACTAAAGTATAAAATCAAACACCTAAAATCTTTCAGTGTTTTCATAATTAAAGGACTTGTGGATTTGGGCAAACTCCTCCAAATTTCAGACACTGTTTGTCATCAGTGAAAAAGTTATTCTATCCATTAAGTTATTAGACTTTAGCAAATACCAAGCACCAAACCAGGCACTTCACAACACAAATATAAATAGACCTTGCCCCGGCAAAAATCTGTGCACAGATATTTGATGTAAAGCCTCTGGCTAGCACAGTGAAAGTGTTAAAAACTGTAGAAATTTGACTAAAAGCTTTAAAAATAAATATTGTAGGGAAGTATTTCAAATGGTTTCCAAACTTCTCAGTGTGATACTGGGTCTTCGCTTCTTCCTTCTCTTTCTCATGTTAGATTATTTCACCAGCAAGAGGCATTGCCTCACTTTCCTACAGGGTCAGAGCCATTGTTTCCTCCCTTGCCCCTCATGAGCTTTTAAACTATGGAGACCTAAAGATGTGTACAGTCCTGGTAGAAGCTTAAGCTCAGGATAATGTATAACCCAGTGCTTCCTCTTTAAAAAGTATATTAGCATTTCTTCATTGAAATATTGTGATTTTTTCAAAGACCGAAAATGAGTAAAGAGGATTTTGTTGGTGGACACCACTAACCCCAAGAAACAGAAATCCTAGGGACAGAGTGCAGAGGAAGGCAACACTTCTGTTCTCTGAGTTCCTGGTGCAATGTAGCCCAGCCCTGTCACCATTTGTTACATAATTCAATCTCAAATTGTATTTGATTTGAAAAACTCAATGCTTCTTAGATCAAAACCCTGGAGTTGCTGCACACAAAGCAGTACAAAGCTATAGAGTATCTATGATCCAGGCAGTGTGACAAAAATAGAGCATAAACACGTGCACAGATTTTCCCTAATATGCCCAAGATTGTAAAAGAAAAATGAAGGACCTGTCAATGGGGCTGAAACTGAACCACTGAACCAAGCTGAGTGTTTATAAACGAGGAAGAGCCAAACCAGTAATAATACTGCGGCATTGATTCTTCACGGCGCCCATCACACCCACCTCATCACTTAATGTATTTATTTCTTCTAATATGTGCACAATCCTTTTTGACAGACTGGCTCAGGGCTTAGAGCATAGAGCCAAACCATACTCCTTTTGGTTGGACTCAAGCTTGGCTGGACTTTCAGTGACTTCCACATATTAAGAGCCATTCTCACAAATGGCTTAATATAAAGAAGCTACCTCGCAAACAAGTAACGCAGATCAAGCTCTCTGGCTGGTTGCTTGAACAGTCACTGTGCTGAGGGTGTAGGCTCAGTATGTCACCTGGTCTTCACAATGACTCCGTAAAGTACGCAGCATTCCTTCCGTTGTATAGGAAAGGAATTGGGGCAAGGAAATTCAAACTGTCCTATGGTCACAGAACTAGAAAAATTATGGCCCTTGAGTTTACCAACTATGTTTAAATTGCCCTGGATTCACAAGAGGCTCTGCCATACCTTGAGGCTTGAAAAGTTAGGATTACCACTTGGGGAAATGCAGAACGCTTCGCATGGCTGCAGTCCCTGAGGACTGGCCACCACATTGTTCAGCTTTGGGTGGTCCCAGAGGCCTAAGGTTCACGGATATGCCACTGACCGCTAACCCCTCATCCTCCACCACACCACCTCCAGCCACCACAAGAAAGTTAGGACAGTTGTACAACCACAGTGCAAATTATTTTTTATATGGTTTAAAAAATTTTTTTTAAATGTAGTCAATGTCGTCTGATGCCCCTGTATGGAAATATTGTGGGAAAGGTTGCCCAAAGCATGAGCTCCCTCAGGTCAAACCCAAAATAGCCTTGATCCACTCATCCCCAAACTTCAAAGGCTACCTCACGCTCCCTGCAGTTGCTGCTGTGCCTGGTCACAGGCCAAGCAGCCTGGGTGGTCCTCTGTGCCCAAGCTCTCTCTGAGCCAGGAAGCAACCACATACCCTCTTATGAGGTGGGGCAGGGCAGGGAAAAGAAAAAGATAGAGCTGATAAATACACCGCCCTCCCCCAGCTGCCCCAGGGAGACTTAACTCTGTACAAGCCGACTCTGCTCACACAAGGCAAAGCTCTGCGAGAGTCCAGCGTGTCCCGGCCCGAGGTGCCTCGGATTTTCTTTCTTCCTTTCCAAGGCGTAATGGCGTGGAGGCCACCTGTGATTCCCGAATGGAGAGAAGATCGTGAAACTGAGAGCAAAGGGGCTCAAGCCTGCTTCTGGCTCTGACACTCTTCACCCCAAACTAGCCTTCCCTTTCCATCACTTCTCCTCACTTTATATTTCTCTGTGTATCGGGCGCTGGGGTTTGTTTGCTGGTTGGATTGCTTGTTCCCTGAAAATGGGAAAAATAACCAGTGTTTCTCCCAAATCTCCTTAGCCCTTGATTCTGTTGTAAAACCTTGAGTTGCAACAAGCAAGTTTCAGTCCTCCAAAGAAGTACCCAGGAATGCGTTTCCACATCTTCTAGAAGACAGTAGGGGTCTTGATGCAGGCTGCACTCACATAGGCAGCTCTCTTCTGGGGAAAAACCAAAGGTCTTTTAAAGTCTTTCTGTGGAATGAGGAAGGGTGCAGAAACATTATCCCAGGTGTGCCCTGGAAACTTCTCTTTCTCCTACCTGTATTGAGGCCTTAGTCTGAGCCAAGTCACCCAGAAAGGGCTGATAGAGACAGAACCACCAGCCGCTGCAGCTCCATTTCCTCTCTTCAGAAAACCCACAAAGGAACCTCTCCTAGAGTCCAGAAGGATGGAAAGGACTCCTGAACTTTTTTTTTTTTAATGGTCTCTGGCCATTCTGAGGCCAATGGGCTGGGGTGAGGGGAACTGGTTTTTCTCTAACACTGGAAAATATGTATTCGGCATCTCTGTCCAACAGACACAAAAAGCAGATTCCCTGGTCCCAAGTTGTTACCTCTAATTTTCTTCTCCTGGTTTTGTTTGCTGTGAGATCCAAGCAGCTTTGTGTCTTTCCATTCTTTACAACAGTTGAATCTTCCACAGAGCTGTACAAACAAACAGGCCATTCCTGGATTGGATTGTCACCCAGCAACACGCCTCCTGTGTCCCAGCCGGTGAGGAGCAGGAGAGGGCAGGTGGCACAGGACACGTCTGGGAGCACTCCCTTTGCCTGGGCAGAAGCACACAGCACTCACATTTCTCCGGAGCTTCTTTGGCCTTCTGGTCTTCTGAGTTGAAATGGTTACACCACTTTCTATATCAAGAGATTATGTTTTTCTTTTAATCATTTTTTTTCTTTATAAGTTTTGGTATATAAGAAAATAATCCCTTGGGGAAAAAACTGTATTGGGTTTAGCCATGAGTCTCAGGTGTATCCTAATTAGCTTTAAAACTTTATTTCTAAAATAAAAAAAAATTCAAGTTGAAGACAGCTAAAGCAACTAACAACCACAGTTTGGGCTAATTAACTCTACTGGTAATATCTAGAGACTAGAAACTGTGGTCTCAAAGATGCAATGATGATATAGCTATCCAGGATCTTAGCTGCTCTTTTTTTTCTTTTAAAAATTAATCATCTTTGTAATGATTAACAATCTGAACTTATTTTTAGCTCTAGTTCTTATTTATTCTTTCCCTCCTCCATTTATGTGTTCTTTGCTCTCTCCCAGAAAAACCCTCCAGCCTGTGCTTAAAATCCTTATGAAGAATTTCATCAGGCTCTCTCCTCCCCAAATATGTGCAAATGTACATGGAGTGGGGCAAGTGTAGGGAATAGCATGTCTTCTGCCTTCTGAATTTGACCTTCTCAGAAACTAAGACCTGGAGATAGGCAAAGAAAGGAAAATATTGCCAAACTCTCCTGTCCTGGAGAACTCCGAGATTCTTAAGCTGCTCTTTCTCATCTTCCTCACCTCCTCAAGCAAATACTATGTCCACTCAGAACCAAGTCTTCAGAGCTGATTTGCCCTAGAAGGAAAACTGCACCTGTGGTTATACATCCAGTGTGTGTGGGCTCTCAGGGGAGACCAGAGATAGATGTCTTATATTTCTTACAGAGGTCCAGCCAGTGAACCTGGAAAGGTTGTAATAAAAATGCATTCAATCTTCCTGAGCTTCTCTTCCTACCACCTTGTATGAGAAAGTTCCCCTTTTGGACAACGTGTGTTTTGCCCAGTTTACTGTTTACACAACCTGAGAAGGTATTCAGAAGACTGATGTAAGAAATAAAAGTCTCTGATCTTATACTGAGGGAAGAGAGTATTGGCCCAGACATCTAAAGGAATGGCCACTACTACTTTCTCTGCCATTAACTAGTTCTGTGGCTTTCAAAAACATAGTCTCTTCCCATGAATTTAAGCCAGAGGATTTCTAAGGCCCTTTCCATCTACATAGGTTCTCCGAAGGGACGTTTTTCCCATTTGCCCCTTTGTAGACCGATTGCTGACGTCTGTGCAGATGTGAGGTGGAGGAATCAGACTCAAGGAAGCCATACTGACACTTTTCAGGACTTGAAGGAAAGATTCAAAGACACACGTTCACCCTTTTCTGAAATTAGGTGAGCATGTGCAGGCCCAGTGTTGGTTACAATGCCTACACGGAAGAGCACCATTTCTCAGGTGCATTGGTTACTAATAAGAAAGGTAAAGCTGAGATTTTTCTGGCACAGCAATGAAGCAAGTCTAAAAGTTGAGCTAAAATGAATATATATGACTATAACAATAGAAACACCAAACGAACATTTTAGTCCTTATTTTGTGCCAGACACCGAGCTGGGGATTTCTGCATGTGTTATCTCAGCTTAGCATTATACACATGCTCTGCCCTCTCATTCTGTTCTCCAATTATCCCCCCAAGCTGGCCCGCCATCTGCCCACCTCCTGCATGGAGATGTTGTGTGAGGCAGGACCTTTACGCACAGGCACACCCGTCAGCCCTGTCCACTCTAAGGACTTCCACACCTTCATCAACTCGTTACAGTGCTGCCTACTCTGAGGAGAAAAGCTCTATATTTCTCTGAAAGAAAAGAGCTCTTACTGTTTATCTGCCTTTTCCTGGTACACTTCCTTCAAGTCTACAGGAGTGTTTTGTCTACATAAGGAGGAACACCAGTGTCTAGATCAATATCTGCAAAAGCTTTTAAGCTATAATAACCATGGTCTTCAGCACTCAATATATTTTGACAAGACCATCCTCTATGCCAAGTTAAGTGGGTAAACTCTTAGGTAGGGATTTTTAGACTCTCTCCTTGGTTACAAAGTACTTTCAGTAGAGAAGCCCATAATCATTAAACCAAATGCCAAGGAAAAGGCATTCCCAATGATATAGTTTTAATTCCCTATAATCCAACCAGTACAAACTTCATCACTACATTGTAGTGTTGCTAACTAATGAGCTGAATTTTGGCAGCCTATTAATCTTAATTTTGTAAATATTGATTTTTTTCCTTTGGCTTTTGAATGGAGCTATAATTAGCTTTCTTTTTCTTTTTTTAAGCTTAACCTCCCTTTCAACTTCCTGCTATTGGGTATTTTATTGCAACAAACAGTTTTATCCTTGACCAGGGTCCAAAAGAAGTCAAAAGAGTTCTGGGAATAATGATCCCACCTCTCGCCTTGTTTCACATGCTTCCCCTCTCTCTTCTGGGACATGGAGCCATCATTAACTTCTACGGAAATTCACTGGAGACTCAATTAGAACTTCTGGGCACAGAGAGGAGGAGGCACATCCTCACCTTTTGCTCTCAGTAAGGTCTGTTTCCAGGACCAGTCCTACACAGGAGGACTTTGTGGGCGTGGGGGATAAAACAGAGCTGACAGGCCCAGCCCACTACTCCTGCATTTGACAATCACTGAAGCCTCTCCGTTTTCCTGCAGAGGTACAGATGCTAGAGATTAAAACTGGAATAATCTCTCTCACCAAAGGGTATGTTCCCTGCTTCCAGTCTTTCCCAACTCACTCTGATTTTTCTTAGCCATTGCCATTGAGGAAACACAGCAGTTTTATTAGTGCAGGAGAATCTGATGGGTCAGGAGCTGTACTCTAAAGTAGCTGAAAGCATCCTTCCATGTTACCGATTTTCCCCTTTCCCTCTTTAGCATGTTCTTACTTTTAAAAGGCTGTGTATTCTATCCCTTCCTCCTTTTCTCTTCTGGCACAGCCTATCCCAGAAAGTACTGAGCCTTTATTTTCTTCAAACCTACAATGTGGCAGTCTCAAGATGTTCTCCCCATTCTCCATTGAACCCTTGTAGTCTTTTCTCACTTTTGGAAATCAATGCCGGTAGATACCAAGCCGGTCTCTGAGCTCCATCACCTCACTTATGGCAAACCAGTCACCTTTCTTCTAATGTAGCATCCTTAACATGTATAACTTGCTTTTAAGTTTTTATGTTATTGAAATTCTAGAAGCATTCACCAAATCAGTCTTTGTCAAGGGAGATGGGAAAATAAAGAAACAAAAACAAGTATAAAGCCTCTCACTGTCGAAGGCTGTATTTATGGTGCTTAAGAGAAAAGATCTGATGGCCAGAAAGCAGCCAGCCAGGTAGACACTTGAAGTTGGCCATGTGCTGCTTGTGTGTCCTTGGGCTCACTACCCAGATCTATGCCTCATTTTTTTCCATTTGCAAATTGAAAATATAAGAATCTCTACTCATGGGCAGTGGTAAAGAGTATAAATCCTTAGCCCAAGCGTGGTATACAATAGATTCTTAATAAATGTTAGCTAGAAGACAAAAGCATATAGAATTCTTTTAACTAAAAGTTACATATTTAGCTCCGATTGAAGTTCAAGGATTGTCACCTGTTGTATGTGTTTTGATCAAAATATACAGTGAATGCTTAAGTTTTAAAAATTATTATAATAAAAAACACATTGCTATTAATTCCCCTCAAAATACTCACCTCCTTGCTTCAAACACATTTATCCCATAGTTCTTGCCACTTTCTGAAGAGGTTCCCGAAGTCCTCTTTTGTGAGTGTCTTTATGAGATGTGATCAAAAATGTGGTGAATGCTCTTCCTGAGTGCCAGCCAATGGAAAGACAGGCTCACAAAAGCATTGCCCTGTGTCCTCACCCAACTTATGCACCAGATGTGAGATAGAGACTTCTATCTCTTCCCAAAGTCAAAATGGCCACAAAAAGAAGACATTTTGAATCAATTCAGGACATTGAGCCAGAACAGCACAACTAAAGACACTCATGAAAGAGGACTTGCAGAAGTGCTTCAGAAAGTTGCAAGAACAATGAGAAAAGTGAGCTTGGAGCAAGGGGGGTGTTTTGAGGGGAGTCACTGGCAATGTATCTTTTACTATATGGCAGTTTTAATGGAAATGTTCACCATATTTTTTGATCGTACTTTGTACCTTCCCTTTTAGGAACATTTCATTCTAGAGTCTAGGATATATGGACAGTGTATGGTCATGTGGGTGATTTCTTAATCACTCTGTTACTCATTTGCCTCTGTGTGTGAAATCAAATGAGTAAAAATGTGTATATCATAAAATGTTGTCAATCAACTATAAAAAGAGGAAGCAGTAGAAATGTTGCTCCTGCCTTCTGAGAGGGCACACACTCAACAAGAAAATAATAGCTATACAAGAGCCTACTCATAATCACTATTACTCACAGATTAAAGGGACAGCACAGAAATCTCCTTGAGACTTGAGATAATTCCTGTCCCCAGTGGTCTGTGAAGGATTCAGACAGTGAAGAGAATGAAAGCTGGGCTTTGGCACATGGACCTATCATCAATGTAAATGTACCCAGCAGCAGAATTTCTGGAGCAGTGGCTGAGTCTGGACAGAACAGAGCATGTTCAAAAGGCTGTTGGGTTCAGAATGATCTGGAACAAAACGGAGGGATTCTGTACTGCCACCTGTGGAATCCGCTTATGAGGAGTTCACTGGCTGTGGACTGTGAATGTCTTACTGTGGTCAGGTGTGACAAGGAAGTTTCCTGTGTAAAACTATCTTCTAGCAATTCAGAATGGGACATGAGAAGTTGTGCCAAGGGTTTAGGGGCCATTGGCTTTTAGAGAAACAATACATGATTGCTTATTTAAGTCTTTCATGGAAGAAAAGAAAAAGGTGGCAGAGGTGTTTGGTGTCTGCAATCCAGGCAACACAAACAGAAATCGAGGAGGACAATTTTAGCCCAAGAGTGATATGGTTAAAGAGATGTTTTTAAAGGATTAATCTGGCAACAGAGCACAGGATGGGCTGCTGACAGAGGAGATGGGGCAAGAAAAACCACTTTGGAAGCTTTTGCCAGAACCAAGACAGCAACCAATCAAACATGAAAGAAGGAATAAATGTTAAAGACTTTAAAATCCAACTGATATACTTAGCGTGCCTTCTAAAGGAACTTTTTGATTTTTGAGAAGC